TGGCAGCTTTCAGCTACATATGGGGCTGTTCCTGGTCAACTGCAGGCAGAAATTCAACCTCAGTGATTGTGTTACAGTGGATCGACATGTGCCTTTCAGAGGGAAGGCCAGCTTCTGCAGTATATGCAGAGCAAGCATACAAAAGAGATACAAGTGATACAAAAACTGCAATTTCTTAAAATTAATGAAAAAATAAATAAAAATGCAAAGGGCCTCATGTCACAAACATGTTTCATGAGGAATACCTCAAATATGAAAATATTACAACTCTTCGTTTTAAAGATTTTGAAGAATAACAACCGAGTTTATAGCAAAATGCATTGTTTCTATTTGGGGTCATTTTTGACGCCACTCGTGGAAGAGTGCAGGTTGTGCATCCAAGGGTTAAAGGAGCAGCGAGCTCACTCAGATCCATACCTCGCAGTGAATTATTGGAGGAGAGTTTCGTTTGCTGATACCGTCTCCATTTTCAAGGGTGACCCAGCACTGGGAGCCATTTTGTGTTTCTGTTGTTTCAAATAAAGTTTTTTCTTTATTTATTTAATGGGTTTATAATTAATGAACGAGTCCCATCCGAGGTGTCATTTTTCTATTTGTCAGTTTATATAATGAAGGTTTGGGGGAAGCAGTCAGGTACAGCAAACCTCACAAAGGATGTAAACATGTAACAGAGCTTACCACCCTCAGCACGAAACAAACCACGGCTTCGTATTCACACACTGAAAACACTCATCCTTTAACCTAAGTGTAGTTCATGGCTCATGTTTGGTCCACGTTTTACCGCTCACCAGTCCACTGCAGTGACAAACAGCACAGGAAGAAAAGTCCGCTTTTTCCCAATCACTCAACGAAAGGAGTCTCAAACCAGCTGTGCACAGCTGCACACAAAGTCCAGCCTGGGGCAGCGACCGCGCCTCACTGCCACCTCCATCCACAAAGAAATCCTCCTGCTTCAGAGCCAGACGATCCCCGGTGCTTTCCACTGGCGTGCTTCTTCTGAAGGCTGACAGTGGGGCCTTCCACCCGGAAACACTGGGC